CCTTTCTTGGAATGAGGACAGGGCGATGTGAGCCATCCCTGTGCGCCCATCTCTTACCCTTAGTTACTTAGCAGACGGGCATGGCAGCTGGGGCAGGAGAGGCGCCTGGAGTTAGGGGACAGCTCAGGGTTCTGTTTCATTTTTAAACTTTGATCCTCAGACTGGGATCAAACAGTTTCTAACACTCACCATCATATACCATGATGAGTAGGAGCATTAAGTCTGGATAGGGGGACAGATTCTTTACATAAAGAAGTGAGTGTCAAAATTAGTGGCTTTCAAAATGAGGTGTTGAAGATTTTGCGGGTGGTCTGTGGACTCATGTGCTTTGGAAATATTGTTTATAATGGGATGATGATGACATTTCACATACACATGTATTTTACTTGTAGTTTTACCCTTTTTGGCAAAACGGTTCTATTAATCTGTCAGTGCTGGTGAGTGTGTGTTGGTTTGGGTTGGTCTATTTTTAGTCATCAGTTTTAAGTATATAAAATTAAGTAGAAGTTTATGGGGAAGGTGGCCCATAAATCAAAAAAAGACTAAGAAGCTGTGGTTTGAGGGACCTCTCTGGGACCTTATTGGCCCTACAATTTTCATTTTTGACAAATGTTTATTCAGCGGGAACTATGAGGTGCTGGGAATATAGAGATAAAATGGTTTGAGGTCTTTACATAAATATAGGTACAAATGCATATAGTCCAATATTCTTAAGCACAGTAACCAGGGTCCATCTCGGCAGTTAAGAGCACCGTGCATCCCATCCCCAGCACTTATTACCTGGTTGGGACCTCAGGCAAGTTTCAGCTGTGAAGTGTGGATATACAGTATTACCTCGTAGAGTACTTGTCAGGATGGGTGGAGATTGTGGAACCAAAGAAGGAAGCCCAGTGCGGAGCCCTGCTAGTGACATCATTTTCTGGTCAGTGACCCTGTCTGTTCACTTGCGGCTACCGTCTGACCACTGCTCATTCCATTAAAGTGTCGAGTCTGGAGCGTCACCACATGTCACTGTGTGTGGATGGGAAAATCAAGTTGTTTGTTTTCCTTTTTAGCAGGAGTGGTTGAAGACCCCTGTGTGGGGGTGGACTGTCCCAACAGAACCTGCGAGCTGGAGAACGGAGGAGAGCTCTGCGGCTGCATCGAGCCGCCCCCCTACGGCAACAGTGAGTGACGCCTGCCCCTTCCAATGGGAGAGGCCTGGCCGCTGCGCAGGAAAGGTCCAGGGTTGGAGCCCCTGCATGTCACACCAGCGAAGAAAAAAAACCCAAGTAGTAGAGCTTTCATGAGCATTTAAACAGAACAGAGAAGCAATCTGAGCTTCAAAGTAGGCTAATGTTCATTTCCTCATAGCTACATCCTTTTCTTCAATAAATGACAACACATAAATTTGTACATCAATAGAATCAGCCAGTTCCATGTGAGGCATGATCCACATCAGAGAGAGCCAAATTGATCTTTCAGACTCACAGGGAAGTAAGATGGTTTGATGAAAATGTGAAAGAATCAGGAGGAGAATGCTGGCACTTTAAAGGCAGATTTATCCAGCCCAGGGCCTTTCAGTCAGTCCTGAAGAGACAGCTGAAGCGTTTGGAGCAAACAGCAAGCAAATCAGGCCCCCAGGTCCCATTCCTAACGGCAGCCGCCTTATGGCAGGAGTGGCCTTGTCCCCCAGCAGAGCACCCCCCTGCTGTCAGCCTGGAGTGGGGCTGCTCCGCCTCCCAGCTCCACGCCCTGGCCCGAGCCGCCCACCTCGGAAGGCACATGCTGAACGTCACACCGTCAGAGAGGGGGAGCCCGATGGACTGAAGGCTCCACAGGAGGGGGCGGCACGGCTTGTTCCAGGGCTTGGCCTAAGCACGTGAAAATGTTTCTCTCCGTTTCTATAGTGCCTCTTAGCCTCTGTTTATGTACCCACATAAAATGTCAGGGCGTCACAGTGTCAAAAAGCAAGACTCCTAGTGTTTGCGTGGGAATCAGCCGGGGCGCTGGGCTGGCCCTGCTCTCACCTGGGGGCGTGTCCTTTAGCCAAGCCGCAAGAGCAGTGCGTGGCTCATGGGAAAGGGCTTCCATCAGAGTCAGTGGGGTGGGGGGAAGCCTGGGTTTATGCAGAACAGACAAAAGATGCTTTGTTAGCATTTTCATTTTTTAAAAAAGGCTCAGTGATACCCCGTTTATTACTTTGAATGAATTCATATACTCATTTGGTTTGATCAATGCTTAATTAGAAAAGCCACAGGCTCTTGTGCAGAGATCCTTGTCCTCTTCTAAAGGAACCGGTACTGGGATGCCCCACCCTCACCCTGCAGCCAGACCCACTCCCACTGACTTGCCTTTCATAATAACTGTCCCCCACAGACTCCCATGACATTATTGACGCAGAGGTGACCTGTAAGGCGGCCCAGATGGAAGTGTCCGTCTCTAAGTGCAAACTCTTCCAGCTCGGCTTTGAGAGGGAGGGTGTGAGGATCAATGACAGACAGTGCTCCGGCGTCGAGGGGGAAGATTTTATCTCCTTTCAGATCAACAACACCAAAGGGAACTGTGGCAACATTGTGCAGGTGAGAAACGGGGTTGAAAGAACGCCTGGCAGACATAGTGACAGCTCCGGGTGTTTGCACCTTGATTGTCTTTAAAGCCAACTTACAGCAGTCTACTTAGAAATACCCTCCTTAGAAAACAGCAAAGGGCAGGTGTGAAATGAAATACATCGGGGAGAATAACCATTTGGTGCTAAGTGGCTGACTGAACTACAAGAGCTCGATAAGTGACCGGCTTCTTCCCTTGCCGTGCGCTGTCTGCTCTCATCCTTTGCCCTGCACAGGGGCAGTTTTCTTTACCTCTCTCATCTTCCATTCTTATTCCAGGTCAACACAGCTGTGTTCAGCTATTCCGGGGGCCAGGGTGTCCCACCATCATTTAACAGCTGGCTGCGGAAATACATCAAGGTCCCAACTTTTAGTGTCAGATTATCCATGTATAGGTTGGCGGAGCATCCGCTGTCTCTCTGTGATAACTGTGTTCATTAACACGTTTATCAGGGAGTGACAGGAGTAAGGTGGAACTTCTCTTTGTTCATTTTGGTACTTGTGGGCATGTCTGATAAAAGACTTGGTGGAGCCGAGATTTTGGGTTAAGAGTTGGAAAAGAAGACTTCTATTACTTGTGATGGTAACCCTTCATGCTGTCCCCAGCTTGGGTTCCCACAGATAACGGGCAACTGGCTGCAGCTAGAATCCAGCGGTGCATGAAATCTCCTCCCTGAGCTTCCAAGGTTGTCAGGCGGAAGGGCACTAGCGATGTCTACCGTCATACCTGTTTCAGTGAATGCCGAAGCTGGCGCCATACTGACCGACAGAGGCCTTTGGGTGTCTGTGGAATGAAACCATTTCTCCGCTTTCAGGGCTGTGGGTTTGAAATGCAAGGCACATACTCCCAGATTTAATGATTTCTGACCTCCCTTTGCTCTGCAGTCCAATAGCACTCATATCGTCTATAAAAACACAATCTGGATTGAAAGTGCCAACAACACCGGCAATGTCATCACCAGGGACCGGACGATCAGTGTGGAATTTTCCTGTGCTTATGAGCTGGATCTCAAGATCTCCTTAGACTCTGTGGTGAAGCCTATGCTAAGGTGAAGAGCCTCAGGGCTGTGCGCATAGCTTTGTCTTTTCCTTGGCAGTGAAGGTTGGCATGCCCAAAATCGCTAGCAATTGTCTTTGAAGCACTACGGGAAAAATAATTCACATTTCCTGAACCTAAATGCCTTAGATCTGCACTGGTCCACAGAACCTTCTAGAATGATTGAAATGTTCTTTAGCTACGCTATACAATACAGTAGCTGTCTGTGGCTGCTGAGCACACGCCATGTGGTCGGAGATGCCAAAGAACTGGATTTTAAATTAAATTTTATTTTAATTGTTACATAGCTAGCAGGTGCCGTATTGCAAGCAACCTCAGGCTTTGCTATTCACTTTGCCTTCCCCCTGCATTTTCAGCTTGAAAAACGGTAGGTAGAGTGAAGATAATTGTTTGGGCTTCCCGACCTCATGATTGTTTCCCTTTCAGTGTCATTAATCTGACAGTTCCAACCCAAGAAGGCAGCTTCATCACCAAGATGGCACTGTACAAAAACGCCTCCTACAAACACCCGTACCGCCAGGGTGAAGTGGTGTTGACGACGCGCGATGTGCTGTACGTAGGGGTCTTTGTGGTGGGAGCCGATGCCACGCACTTGATCCTCACGCTGAACAAATGCTATGCCACCCCCTCCCGCGACAGCAATGATAAACTCCGATACTTCATCATTGAAGGCGGGTAAGGAGCCTTTCATTAGGGGACAGTCTGGTATATTAATCGACATCAATTTTTAGAGAAGGGAATGGGGACTCCTGGCGGTTGAATACCTACAGGGCCAGCATTTTGCACCCATGATGGATATAATTCTCATGACACCCTAGGAGGTAGATGTTGTAAGCCTCAATTCAATGATGAGAAGGCTGGGGCCTAGGGAGAGTGCACAACCAGCTTGAAGTCACAGAGATTTGGAGGAGGATCCCCACCATGTGGCATCAGCTACAAGATGCTTTGTTCTCGTGGAATCAAAGGGGAGATTCTGCCCTGCCTGCTTTGCATTTCAGTTTGAGAGAAATGTGGATCATCTGCAACTGAAAGACTGTGATAAGAGTCATGAAAGCTTGGTGAACACGACATCTGTCAAAATTTAAAAAGAATTAGAATAATAGCCTATGAAATCAGTGAGTTTCTTTCTGTCAAAATTTAAAAAGAATTAGAATAATAGCCTATGAAATCAGTGAGTTTCTTTTTACTCACCACAATATACTCAGCACCTAGTATATTTCCTGACCAACAGGTGGTCATGTAACAGAATTTACTGAAGGAATGAATGCATGAATGAAAAAGAAGAAAACAGTATAGAACAAACAACAATAATGATGATTATCTTTAAAAAACAAAACACTTATGTCAAGCGACAATACTTTTTAACAGCTTTATTGCACATGTAATTTAATGCAATAAAATGTACTTGCTTCAAATATAAAATTTAATGATTTCCACTCAGTGATGGAGTGCAGTCATCACCATAACCTAATCTTGGAGCATTCCCATCACCCTGATACAGTAATTCTTAAAGCAGATGTCTGTATTGATCAAACTTCTATTAGAAGTGGTAGAGACTGGTTCAATCAGGCTTATGCAAAAATAAGGCATTTCAGGGCTACGGAACCAAATCACAGGAGCGGGTGTGGCTTTAGGGATGACTGGATCCAGGCAGCCAAATGCTGTCAAGACTGCACCTCATTTGCCCTGTCCCTTGCCTCTCTGTGTCTGTCTTAGTGACCTTGTTAGACTGGCATTCCTGGACTCCCATCCTCATAGCACTGCAAACACCAAGAAGCTGGGATTCCTCCTAACCCCCTTCGGGGAATGCCTGGGAAGGAACATGATGACCTTCCTTGGATCACTCGCCTCTCCTTTCTTTGGAGGGGATGTGATGTTAAATTGTCTGGTGTTGGGAGGACAAACTTCTCCTTGACCATCTTAGGGTCCCTGGCTGGGTGTGAAATAGATCAATAGGAGAAAAGCATATGGAGTTATTCAAAAGTTTTACTTTTATTAAACTTACATTTACTTGTATGACACGGAATCCTTCATAAGGAAATGAGGGAGACCCAAAGAAATGGTTTGGCCTGAGTATTCTCTGCTGGGTCTGATGATGAACGGACGGCCATGGAGAAGTGTGACTCACCGAAGAGCACGAGGCGGTTGCAGCAAACAGGGAAACTAGCGAGGCCTGTGTGTTCGGATTGTTGTCTTTGAAGATAAGGGTGCTGCTTTCTTCTAGGCATGGAGGGCACCTCTCACTCACAGGAGGGTTTCATGACTGTGAAAAGAGTCAGGGGAAGGTCAGCGTGACCTTCCTGCTCCTGCCAATCTCTCACACTCCTTAACCTTAAAATATTCAGTATGCCAGCTGCCACGTTTCGGGGTAGTGTGTCCTGAGTGCGTCACTGGCCTGAGTCAGCATCCAGCTCCACGGTGGTCAGAGTGCTGTGGACACCATAATTGGCTTTAAGACTGGGTGGGGGCAAGGAATGGTTCCCCAAAAGAAGAAGGGTATGGTTCATGGTAGACAAACACATCCACTATGTTGCTGACGAAACAGGTTCAGAGAGGTCAGGTACTCAGCTCACCCAAGGCCTCCCAACTAGCAGGGCACAGAGGAAGAATCTGTCTGGGTATCGAAACACACCAGCTCCCCAACTGGCTCTGGGGGTTGCTGAGACATATTGTGGAGTTTTCAGCAAAGCGCTCAGTAAGGCACTTGTCTTTCTGAACTGGTATTTAGCCTCCTCAGAGGCAAAGGGAAGGACTTGGTGACTTCGCATACGGTAGGCCTATGTGCTCAGTTAAGGACACAGTTCTCCTTTCTCCTATGTCTTCCCTCCCCCACCACAGTCCTTTCTCACAGTGAGGGGAGTAAGCTTGGAGCCACTATTTAAATGCAAACCAAGGTTGTAGGGCTTGAGCTTCCTTTGAAGGACGCTGTGGCATTTAGCATTTTTTAAATAGTGTTTAATAGACTTGACCCAGAGAGGGAGATGGGCATGTTCATAAGTCTTGGCTTCCCCCGGGTCTGAATAAAGACCTTCAAATTAATCTGTTGGGTGTGAAGTGGTTTCGTCACAAAGGAGGGTTCTGATTCATGAATCCCTCTGACCTTTCTTGGAGGGAGGTGGTATTGGTTTTTTCCAGTGAATTTAGGGGAAAACTGATGCTCAGTGTTGAATGAATGAGCAGCAGCATGGGTCCACCTCAGAATTTTGGGGTCAGCCACCCCTCTTCTGCTCTGTGGCGGGCAGAGGCGGCACCAACATCTATGAATGACTCTGAATTTAGGGACACACAGGTCACGCGTCTGCCTAGAGAGAGGAAAGGACAGTTGTCCTCTGATAGTGGACAAAGGATCCTAGTGTTTGGCTCACTGGCTCACGCTAAGTCCAGCGTCCAGACAGCCTGTCCCTGGTTCCCTAGGCCCCTTCCTTCTGCTCCACGTTTTCCTGATACCTAAACTTCAAGTCATCTCTCTGGGAGTTGGTGGTCTGGTTAAGAAGGAAGGTCTGTGTGACGACTGGAGGGCTGTGAACATTCTTGAACCATTTTAGGTCATTCAAATGAATAACAGTGACAAGGCCAAGTATGTTTCTGTTTTGAAGCATTAGAGAGATTATTGCCTTAAAGACTAATTGCAAAACCTAATAGGTGTGGGAACGCTGATGGGTGACTTCCATTTTTAATTTTCCTTATCACTAAGGTACTTAATCCTGTGGGCCAGGGGAAGGGGACCTGAGAAAAAGAGTCACCCTTTTTATCTTTATTAATTTAAAGAGCTCTTGACTCCTATGGGGCAGCCTTACCCAGTGGTCATGGTCGCACAATTCACTCATTCATCCAACAAAGAATTTTCAGTCCCTACAGTGTGCCCTGCAGGGTGCTGGAGACACAGTGAGGATTGTGACTTGATTCCTGCACCCCAGGGGCTCAACAGGGTGCTGGTGGCAAATCCAGGCAAAGCAATCCATTCCTGCCTGCTCAGGGCAGCACTTGGGGATGTAATAAAGGAGGGAGAGCCATAGGCTCGTGTTGGAGAAAGATCAGCAGTTATACACGGGAAGAGGGGCAGAAAGACGTCCAAACTGGGGGTGCTTTCTGTGCAAAGACCCTGGGATGCACTTGGGAAAACCCTTGGTGCAAGATATCTGTGCCCAAGGGAAGGCCATGGCTGTCGTTGCCTGTTGGCTCAATACCACAAGGAGAAGAGGGAGGGGAGGGAAGAGGTGGTCATTTAGCCAAGACAATCCTCAGCTCATCCTGACTGCTCTTCCTTCTCTGACTTGCACCTATTAACAAGTGGGAAGATGTCCCAACAGGACTGAGTCAGGAGCCCCTCCCCAAATGGATAATTAGCTGAAGAAAGTACAAAAGAAGTAAAGACTAATCTTGCATTTGTTAAATTGAAATCAGTAAAACACAGCATCATGAGGGGGACAAGATGTAGGGAACCGGAGTGCAGTCCCGACAGTCATTTTGTCTTTAGTTGCCATTAGGATGCTAATTTGAGGAGCTATTTGATGCTTTCAAAGATAACTATGAACATATAAGGGAGTGGAAATAAATGACAAACCTACACAGTTCACAGGTCACTTTCAAATGCAAAGGTATTTTTACCATTTGTGCTGGTATTATGTGGAATTTGAAAGTGTGAAGCACAGATTCCATTTTTTTCTGAATAGGTGTCAGAACATCAAAGATAACACCATTGGCATCGAGGAGAACGGTGTCTCCCTCACCTGCCGCTTTCACGTCACCGTCTTTAAGTTCATTGGGGATTATGATGAAGTGCACCTTCACTGCGCGGTGTCCCTCTGCGATTCAGAAAAGTACTCCTGCAAAATAGTAAGTGAGAGTGTGAGGAGTAGGTGCCTAGCCTTCTTCTCACTGCCTCAGCTTTCCCACACAGGCATCACGAAGGCCAGGAGTGGGTGGCTCTTCGGAGTTCTTTGGGGCTCACAGCTCCTGGGAGTGGCTGCATTCGAGTCATCCTCAGATGCTTGGGAGTGGCGGTCATCTTTGGTATGACAGTAAGAGAGAGAACACAGTGGAATGATGCCCACTTACTCTTCTCTATCTCTGAAATGTCAGTCTGGGACAACACTAGACCAGGGCTTCCCAAACCGCGGCGCTGTTGACTTATGGGAGTGAATCACTCCTTGTCATGGGACGGCCTATTTATCGTCGGCTGTTGGCAGCATCTCTGGCCGCTATCCCCTAGATGCCAGTTGCTGCACCAAGAATGTCTCCTGACATTGCCAAACGGCCCCTGGTGAGCAAAGTTAGCCCTATTTGAGAACCGCTGCACTGGAGTCTGCCAGAGCCAGGCCACTTGAACCTGAAGCACACAGTGGGGCCAAGCGCCACTCCACTGCAGAAGCGCACTCCCGGCTCAGGATCCAGTTCCTCCGGGTGTTCTTTAGACATTGATTATCCCACAGCTCATCCAGATTCACACCAGGGCCTGAGGCTCTGCAGGTGAGAAACCAGCCCCCTCTTCCAGGCCAGCCTTACGTCCCCACCATGTATGGCTGTGTCCCTAAGGTCTTGCTGCACTGGTATCTGGTCCCCAATTTAACATTCCAGCTCTACGCTTACTCCATGTTTGCAGAATGGAGATGTGAATTATGGTCAGAACCCTTACAGATGCAGCTGCATAAATTATTGTCCAGTGCGATACACCAGTCATCATTCCTGGGAAGGGAGCCTCTATGAATCTAATTCCAGTGTGGAGAATATATTTAATTCTGTTCAACATAAAGCCCAGAGTCCCAGGGGGCTCCGTGATCAAGAATGCATTGTTTCTAATTAATCTGAGCTGTGATAGTGCTTGAGGCTGGAGCCACTGTCTCTTTCGGAGGTGGACGCATGGTGAAGAATATGTTATCAGCTTAATTGTGTGACATTTTTGCTTTGGTGTTCTGTCTTTCAGAATTGCCCACAAAATTCCAGGATTGCCACAGATTATACCAAAGAACCTAAAGAACAGATCATTTCAGTGGGACCTATTAGGAGAAAAAGTACGTATGTTCCCAAAAATGCAATATAAATTATTAAAACAATGGGATTTGAAGGTTTGGGCTAACTCTTGGGTCTGCTTCACCTATGATGTGAAACCGGAGGTTGAGGACACCGGTTTGGGGACACCAGTTTGTGAAGACTGCCAGCTGCCTTCGGTGGAATGAAATCTTTTCACTGACTCTTAAAAACTCACACGAGCATTGGGCTTTTCTTTGTCTGGTTCTTTAAAACCTTGTCCTTAGGTGGGAGCTGAAGAGTTGAACTGTCTGCTGCTGATTTGACCCATGACTCTTTTTCAGGGCTGGACTGGTGTGAGGACAATGGGGGGTGTGAGCAAATCTGCACGAGCCGGGTGGAAGGGCCTCTGTGTAGCTGTGTGACAGGAACCCTGCAGGAAGACGGCAGGAGCTGCAGAGGTAATGGGGCCATCAGGGCCGGCAGCAGGGACACAGGAAGTCCTTCGCCCTCAGAGGCAGACATGCGTGTGTGCCGCCCATCCAGTCAGCAGCTGACCTCTGAGCATTCCAGGCATTAAGAAGGGAAGATGGGGAAAATGCCCAAGGAATGCTAGCACCATTTTGTTTTTCTTAAACCTTTGGGTCCCTGGTCTTTTATCTAAAAGATGAAGGTAACTTAATGACAAAAAAAGTTAGCCAACCACTGAAGGACCACGCATTGGCCTTAAACCTGCCCACCAAGTCTACCTGGGCTGTGGCTGGGACTGGGGCATTTGTGCCGACAGACGAGAATTTCTGCAACAGCCTTAGTGCGTGGTCTCCCCGAGCCCCCAGGGGTTAGTGGGGCTCCACTGAAGGTTGGGTCCACTTCTCTGCTGCCCCAGTCAGGGCCTTTTGGATAAAGTGGGTTCTCGGCAATTAGGAAAGTGGGTCCCGTTTTCTCAGTTGAGGACTGCAATGATGTCTCATACCTGATGCCTATCAAACAGGCTCTTTTTTTTTTTTTTACTATGTTCCCCTCTGTTCACAGCCTCTGATTCCTCCATTGAACTTCAAGTTTGGATGCTGCTTCTCATCATGACCCAGATTTCATTGTGGCATTTTGTCTATCAATCAGGCACAACCTCATAATCAACTCCAGGTTGCTATATAAAGTACTGTCATTTACTTCAATTCCCTGTAGGATAAAAAGGTGTGTGCCCTTAAGTCAAAACCTCTTTGACAGTGTCCAGCTTCACAACGTGATACCACCTGCCTCAAACAGTCAGAGTTCCAGAAATGAGTGGAATTCCAAGCTCTTCTTTCAAAGTATGCAATGGGGCTCCTAAAAGCCTGTCGTGGAAAACACATATCTTGCCTAAAATTTCCAAAACAGTTTCCACCAGAAACTATGACTCACCTAAAAAAACAGTAATGGAAAAATTTCTGGTTAGAGATGTCTGATCGGAAAGCTGACCAGAGAAATCTGTCAACCCAGTGTTGTTTCTGGATCAGTTTTTACAGAGAGAGGGCCCGTTGGAACCTTCCAGCAGTGGCCGGAAGGCTCGGCTCCCTCTATGGAGTCTTTCTGATGTTTGGAAGTGCCTGACCCACGATATGCATGTGTTGCTCCCCTCTGTTCATGATGAGTTCTTTCTGTACTTTCGTGTCCTCCATCCTTGCCACGGCAGCCTGACCACTGCGTATATTGTTTGCAGACCTGGGGAACACACCCCTGCCACCAATCTTACCCCCTCAGACCCAAACCTGTTCTTTCACAAACCAACCAAATAATTTTTAATGTATTTTTTGCTTAAATAAACTTTGTGTTCAAGTATTCTCATTAGTGGTGGCTGGAATCATTCTTACTAAGCTCTGCACGCTGAATAGCATGCTCTGAGTTAAAAAGCAGCAGCAGCCACACGAGGCAGGCCCACTGGCAGAGCTGTAACACATTTTGTTACGTGACTGCTCGCGTGTGCTTACAGAGCATTAGCGGGGCACTCAGGTGCCTGCAGAAGAGAAGCAGGCAGCCTCCTCGTTTGTATGTAGTACATCAACACACATTTAGTGTGATTAACTACAAATGGAGGGCCTGCTAAATATATCCCCATAGTGCCTCTCCTTCTAACGACAAAATCAAAGTAAAAGCCACTTCAAGTTTATTTTGAAGTTGTTTTGGATTTAAGCTAGTGGCATTTTTGTACTTTTTGGGGAACTCTGTGAAAAGCCGAGCAGAAATCCTTAGCGTCATCAGATGGGGTGTGGGCACGGTTCCTGTTGCTTACCTGTGAGAGGCACTGTGTCACACTGCCACCAGGCTGAAGAAACGGGGTGCAGATGAGCTGCTTTGCTCTTCCAGCTCTCTGGGAGGGTCAACAAATTCTAGCGTGTCTTGGCAGTCACACGCTCTCTGGCTAAGAGGACAATTGGTACTGATGGAGAAAAACATGCATCTGCTTCAACCTGGACATCTTACGATCCTTTGGGAAAATGCTGGACGTTGAGATGGATTAAGGAATGAAATCGTCTATTCTAGGTGAGGCATAATACTTCTTCCTCTTGAGACAGAAAGTGGTGTCACACTCGTGTTCTGCTTTCGTGCACAAACCTCAGCTGCAGACGGCGCCCACTTCGAGAGCAGAAGGGGCGGAGCTACTGCCGTTCTCGCTCGTGCAGTTGCGTGGTTTAGGTTTCCACAGTCAGATTCCGAGCTGAACATCAGAACGTCTTGTTTGTTTTGTACTTGGTTTCCTGAGGTGAATCTTAACTAAAAACATACAAAGGAAATGTTTTAATATTTAATGGCTTCTATTGATTTTCATAAAAAAGTCAACAGAATTTTCTAAATTAAAGACTATAATTTTGGTTTTTTTAAGCTTTTAAATTAAATCCTTTCTTGCCACACTATAATTCTTGGTCTTTGGTCTTCTCGGCTGGTTGACATGTGTAACTGGTCTGTCATCGGGATAAGCTAGGTCGTGGTGCCCTAACAGAAAACGGCAGAATCTTGGTGGCTTAAACAACTAAGGTTTCTTTCTCGCTCCTGCCAGCAGCCCTGATTCTCACTCTCACCCTGGGACAGAGGTTGATGGAGAGTTCATTATCTCCTTTTTTCTTTCTCAGAAGAATTTATTGAACCGTTATCCCTTCCCCATAGAACTATAGTATCACCTTTATCATGTATCAAGTTTCAGTCTCTGTCTCTGTTTATGAGCTCTCGATTCTCTTGTGTTGGTTTATATTGCTGTTCCTGTGTCAGAACCACATGTTTTTTTATTGGGATATAATTGACATATAACTTATATTAGTTTTAGGTGTACAACATAATGATTCAGTATGAGTATATATTGGGAAATGATCAACACAAGTCTAATTAACATCTATCACCTTACATAGTCACACATTTTTTTTCTTGTGATGAGAATTTTCAAAATCTACTCTCTTAGTAACTTTCAAATATACAACACAGTACTGTTAACTGTAGTCACAAGGTTGTACATTACATCCCCAGAAGTTAATTATTTTATAATTAGAAGTTGATACCTTGTACTCATTAAGCCCACTCCTTAACCCCCATTTCTGGTAACAACCAATCTGTTCTCTGTATCTATGAGCTCATTTTTTTAGGAGTCCATGTATAAGTGAGATTATGTACTATTTGTCTTTCTCTGATTTACTTCATCTAGCACAATGCTCTCAAAGCCCATCCATGTTGTCACAAATGGCAGGATTTCCTTTTTTGTGATTGAATAATATTCCAATATATATACCACATTTTCTTTATCCATTCATACATTGATGGACACTTAGGTCGCTTCCATATTTGGCTATTATAAATAATGCTGCAGTGAACATGGGGGTGTAGCTATCTTTTCGAGTTATTGTTTTCATTTCCTTTGGATAAATACCCAGAAGTGAAATTGCTGGATTATATGATAGTTCTTTTTTTAATTTTTTTAGGAACCTCTATACTGTTTTCCATAGTGGCTGCACCAGTTTACATTCTCACCAATAGTGCACAGGATTTCCTTTCTCCACATCGTCACCAGCACTTGTTATTTCTTCAGACGTCGTTATCTTTTGATGCCACTGGGTCAATACAAGGCTTTGGGATCCACCTCAGGAAGAGGGGAGAGTGTGGAGAATCACACCCCAGAAGGGACTCATATCACTACAGTTCCCATTTCATTGTGCAAAGCAAGTTCCATGACTTTAACTTCCAGTGCAAACTTCCCATAAGCCTGGAAGGCAGAAGACCTGGAAATTTGTGGTCACCACTGCCTCTCTATCTTTGAGTCAATCACTCCTATATGTGTTAAGGAGAAATACTTCCACGGAACTAGAAACAAATAGGTGCCTTTGTGGTCTAAAAAGTGGAACTAGAAGATGATTCTGACTCTCTGCTCATTCCCTGCTTGAAACAAATCATTCTCTATCACGATACCTTAACTTTACTCTCTATAAAATGAGAACATTAAGCTTCTTCTCAAACATTCTTATGTTAGAAAATGACACTATACAAATGCAAACCATAGGATAGTATTTTTTAAGTAACTCCAGAACATTAACTTTTCCTGCCACTCAAAAAGATTTGCTTCAAGGAAGGGATGGGGGGAGGGGGAGTGCCGGGGGGCAAAGTGACAAATGCTTAGCAAAGGTTTAAAAAGGAAGTTAACTGGGAATCTTATTAACTTGCTATTCATCTGTATCAAAAGAAACAACATCTTGGGGTCTGGCATTTCTACCCATTGGCAATTCTGTATTTGGTTTCTTAACCCACAAGTAGGTATGTGCACTACTCAAAATCTTAATGGCAAAACTTGAGAGCACTAATTGTTTCACATTGTCTAATATTCTAGCTATTTTTAGAACCATCTGACATTTAGTGGGAGCTTAAACCCTAATAAAATATCTTTCAACTGAAGGAATTAAGTAATTATCAAAAGATGACAATCATGCCGATGAAGGGTAATGAAGAATTACTTATTTACTAATTCTGAATTAATTTAACATCTACCCCATTCTGCACCTTCCAGCGTCTCTCCTAGGTCTCTGGGGGATTCCTACACCCATCTACACAAATATGTCACTGCAATTTGGTCCTGGTTAGGAGAGCAGGATGGCATTTCCCAGTTGCCCTGGTACCGGGAATCTGCAGCACGACCTGGCCGAAAAGAAAATCCAACAGCTCCCTCTAGCGTTCTCTTGCAGGAAATCCAAATGTATATTGAACCACACCAACCAAAACATGATTTCTCCCCATCCTCGAAACCTTAGATCCAGAACATTACCAGAACACAGCTTTAGCGAACACATCAAATGTCAAGGACACTTTCTGGAGAACAGTGTGAGATTTATTTTTATGCACACATTAAGCATCATTCCAGGAAAATACCAGCTCTTGGCATCCCATACAAATTTTACCCTTAATATCTATTTCTCTCAAGGTTGACAAAAATAGCTGTCAGGAAAAATTCAGTCTCTCTCTAAAATGTTGAGAAAGAAGCAATCTGATCAAGAAAAGCCCATGAAATATTTAGCGGTCTTTCTTTTCCCCCAGCAGAATGTGAAATACTTTCATAGCATTGAAAGCACAACAGCAATAAGTCTGGTCTGACTAATAGAAGGCTCCCTTCGTGATGGGTTAATTATGTTTGCTGAAATATGACTCTCACATAAGACCACATCTCCATGACAGAGGGACAGATCTCTGTGTCCATGGATAGAAATAAAATGCAAAAGGCTCATTGTTCCATGAAGAATTCAGCAATCACATTCTGTTTGCTACGGAAACAAATGGAAGAAGAATGTTCACTGCACATTTTGTTGTGTCTGTTTGCCTGTAGCCTCTAGGTTAGCTTTTTTATTTGTTAGCATAAAATATGGATTGTGAAATAGTTTTGAAACTCAGTCTGTCAGTAGATGAAATCACAATACCTTGTGGTCATGCAGCGCTCTTTCATAACGAATGCTTTCCTGTGTGCATTTAATATTGTTCAGTCCTAAATCGTGCGGCATTTTGACAGAGCAATTAGTGGAAACGTGTTAAGTTGAAGTGATACCATAGATGGTATGAAGTACCAACTAAAGAAAAACCTGAGTGCACTCACATATGTGAGCTCATGTGTGGAGGTTTATTTAGTAATTTTCAAATTCTAATGAGGCATATTGGAATGATAGTAGCCTTCTAAGAACAAAGAAAGCTTGATACAGAATTTTTGCTTTATTTCTCCACCCTCAACTCTTAAATTTCTTTGTGGACTAGGTTAAGGGTACAAAAATCCACTGATATTACCCTACTGTAGTTGGGGAAAAATATATTATTTTACTGAAAGAGATAACATATTTAATTACTTTAGGTCTACAAAATCTTTGCATTGGTTCTATCCAGAATTCATAGAATTTTTTTTCATTTAAAAACTATATATTCACATAGAAATAGGCTATTAATTGTATGTTAACCAAAGGCAGAATATGCATGGCCCCTGGTATTTTCCTCTTACCTGTCACAAACATTCTTAATGCAACTGGCCGTCCTGGTCCTTAAAAGTAGTTTGCGTATCTACATGGATCAATCGAATCAAGGTGTTACACGTGTGTATTCAACCACACCGGCCACCAGTCCCTGTGCTGATGACTCCAGAATGCTGTTAAGGACTATCTACCTCCAGGCAAGGGAGGGGGTTTGCTTTCCTGAGGAGTCCTCATCAGAAAGCAATTTGGCAAACTAATTCGACAAGGCAAAAATAACTGAGCATATACTGTGAAAACATCTAGGCGTCGTATCAGAATATTAAAGGCGCAAAATGAGAAGAGCCGAGCCAGTACTCTGAATATTAAATTCGAGGTTAGCAGAATCTAGAGATGCTCGGCCACTGCGGATTTTGTTCACATGTCCCATGTGTTAAGCATATTCTAATTGTATGTTTACCCTGGTCCTTTTCGTAAACAACTACTTTTGTTGGTTAACTTTAAGGGGAATCCAAGAACTAAGTCAAGAGAAGGAGAGCAATCTTAGTCCCTCCTTCTGAAACATCTCCTTGGACCACAGTGAACAATTTACTCAATAACTGCAATCAGTGTAAATGTAGTTTTTTTTTTAAGCAAATGGCCCTGAAAGCTCAAGGCTGCCTAAATCATAGAGAAATAACATCATCATACAATTCGAAATGCTTTTTATTTTAGGAAAAGCAGTTTCTGACAGTCACAACACGTGAGGACGTTGTTGTTATTTCCAGGCACAATATTCCAGGAACACAAATTCATCAAAGTCAGCTTTCCTGGTAGATCCCCAAAGAGACACCGGTGACTCAGAGAAGCCAAGAGACTTCACAGCTCCATCAGTGCCAACTCTCCTATCCCCGCTGCCTTAGGGTTTTCCATGCTTATGGGGAGGATGGAACACAAAACTTAAAATTGGGTGGCGATTGGAAATATTTCATAATCAAATGTGGCTGTTCATAAGTCTTCTATCAGAAAGTATCATTCTGGGGTTCTTAAGTCACAGAAACAATAACAAAAACAACAAAACTTCTCATCTTTCAGTCTCGTCTTAGAAGCGGGTTGATGAAATGCAACCTCCAAAACATGAGCTTGAGTCATTGTTCACTGGCCAAGGCTGCTGCTATGGTGATTTTATTTGTATAAACAACTGAAAAGGCAAGCATTTTCACCAGTTTCTCAATTATTTATTCCGATCCTATTCTGGGTTTTTTCCTCTCTCGAAGAATGTGAATGCATGTGGGTCACAAAACGAGACTGGTGTGA